TTTTTTAAATAGACCAGAGATCTTTTTAAATCTCATCTAGGACAGAGGGGGTACTCTGTGTGAACTGCTAGATTTACCCCTGTAGCCCCAGTGTGATGATCATAGTAGCAGAATCTTCAGTTTCTTCCACCAACTGCTGTCAATACTATATTTTGGGCCCATTACCTTCAATGGGGATTCTTTGACCCCTTAATATCCAGGAGTGATCAGTAAGGTGAGGGGGAGGTCACTGGAGGAGATGGAATCATCATGTTGGCCTGCGGAGGTAAGTATGGTCTGAAACAATGACTGCCTCTTACTTCTTTCTACTATAATGAAATTAATAGATTTGGGTGGAAGTCTTCTTTAAATTGGCAAAGATGAGGCTTGTTAGTCACATTTGAAATAACTTTGTCATTATTCCCAATGACGAGCTGTCGCAGCATTGCAGAATTCCTGATTTTTAGTTATACTGTTTATACCTATAATTCAGCTGCTGGTTTCAGTGCAAGGTGTATCTGGGCACCCCAGATAAATTAATCACAGGCCTGGTGCTAAGGATTTTGGTAGGCCTTTTTATGGAAATGGCAACGGTCACTGGGGCCCTTTTCCTCCTGTCCGTGCTGTGATTAGCATTCTCTCTACAGCTTGGAGTCAGTGGTGGCGCGTTGGGGCCCGGTTGCAGCTGCAACCCTGGTAGATCTGCCACTGACTGCAAGCTGTTTAGAGACTACAAATCTTAGCAATACATCATACAGCAATGCAGAATACTGCCAACTATAGAGGGCTACAAATCCCAGCAATACAGAATAATATTAATAATAATTAATAATAAGCTACATACTCTGAGTTCGCGACCTGATGTCTCCAGGGTCTCAGGAGAGCCGTGTGGGGTTTAGGGGGGGGTGGCTGTTCAGGCTCTCGGGAGGCTGTTCACCAGGCCAGGGGTATGCAGAGTGAAACTGGCAGATGCGGCTCTCTGCTTGGGTGGCTGCTTGCTCCTCACCAGAACCCCCGAGTGCGGCCCTCTAATATGCCTGATTAGAGGGCCGCCGCTACCTGGTCACGGCCAGCCTGGATTGCCATCGGGCTGGCTGGGCCTATTTGCAGAAGAGGGCCTGGAGCAGGAGCTCCACCCGCCCCTATGTTAATTCGGCCCTGGGGATGGGCCACACTTTTTTACTGTTTTAAAATTAAAACAGTTGAGTGTGAGCTTTGTCATGGAGCTGAAAGGGAGATTTAAAGTCACACGCCAAGAAAAAAATATAATTTACACACCACTCTGGGTGTGTAAATTACCTTTAAAAAGCTGGGTGTTGTATGTAGAGGGCTAATGCAAAGTATACAAATCTTATCTTACGGCAGGGGTGGGCAACTCTGGCCCTCCAGTTGTTGTGGAACTACAAGTCCCATGAGGCATTGCAAGACTGACATTCACAGACATGACTCCCAGAGGCATGTTGGAATTTGTAGTTAAAGCCCAGCTGGAGGACCGGAGTTGCCCACCCTTGCCTTACAGCATGCCATCTCCTATACAACACAGAGCAGTGAGGGATGCGACTCAAGCAGTAGAGTGCTCCGGTCGCACCCCCTTCCTCTACGCATTACTTGCCATCATTTTTTTTCCCCCTGGAGTGTGGCTTTAACACGATAAAATGGTGCAAGAAGGGGATTTTTACAATGACTTGGAAATTTCTCCTTTTTGAGGGTTTTTGTGTAGAGTGGAAAATGTAGCGTAATGGTAAATATGCTGTTCACTTTGCAAGGGATTTTTCCTTCAGCTTGGTGAATGTGGTGAAAATTCACTTTAAAGCATACACAATCACGTTCAAGGAAAATTAAAAAAACAGTATTTTTACTTGCTCATGATTGGATGATGGAAGTCAGCAGAGATTCACCTCATTTAATAAGCTAATGGGAAAACAGCCTATTTGCCTTTAGTAAATCAACTTCACAATCTGAACAATCCTTGATAGCTGCACTGCCCAGACAGATAGATAGATAGATGCATTGATTGTTTCGTTCATCAGAGGGTGCCCCATACATCATTTGTATGAAATCTAGAGAAAAGGAACAGTAATTTCAGTAATGAAATATATAAAATACTCTCCAGGTACATGTTTCTCCATCTACACAAAATTATTTGCTAAAAATACACAATTAAGGGCAACATTTCAAAACTTTGTTGTGGCAGATACTGAAATCAGGCCATAGTATGATGACTCCAATAGTATTATACATTGATGAATGTGAGGGCTGCTATTAATCCCAGCCATTGCTTTCTTGCAGTTCTGCCTTCTCGAGACACGTCCTGGACATAAAAGAATGACGCCAAGATTACGATTGACCTTGTTTAAAACATTGGAACTGTATAAATGGAAGTACAATATTATATAAAATATATCTATATAAATATGTGTATATAGCAGTTTATAATATTTTGTATTATAATTTTTTTTATATGTGTATATAAGTTGGATGTTCAAAATGTGCACAAATGAGGGGTGGGAATGTTTATTTTCAATTCAATGAAGCTCAATTATGTATTCTATGACAGATGACATTTGTGCAGTTTTCATATATCTTGAAAAAAATATTGAATAAACATTTGTATTGTTTATTGTGTTGGAGGTTTTTTGTTAAGGATTTCTTACTTACTCAGACTCGGTCTAAATTTAGCATCTTATCTGTCAATTTATAGGAGAACTATGGGGTTAGGGCTTTTCCCCATAGTTCTCCTAAGGGTAACGGGAGAACACAAACTAGCATCCTCCCGTCACCCTATGCTCAGTATACCGCGAGCTACAGCTTGCGGTATACTGAGACGCCGGAACGGATCCCGACAATTATGTCTGGATCCACCCATCTGCGTGAGTGACAGCTGGCTCTGCCTATCTAGAGGCAGAGCCAGCTATACCCGCCCCATCCGTGGGGGAGGGGGGAATCCAGTCCCTCCCCTGTCAGGGCTCTCTGCCGGCACAGGATCGAGAAGTGAGCGAGTGCCGGGTATGTGTTCGCTCACTTCCCGATCTACTGAGCCGACCTGTGACAGTTAAATTGTCACAGGTCGGCTCAGATTATGAGGCTGAGTGAAAGTCACTCACCTCATAGTTCTCCTTTAACTTCAGAACAGTGATATTTTTACTTTTTCTGTTTTGTAACATTGTTTCGGTCTGTCAAAAACAGACAAACAGGCACAAAAGTCTGGATGTCCCTACTCATATTCAATCTACTGCAATTCTTGCTTAAAATGAAAAGCTGTTCAAAATTCCACTTTAGATTTACTGGTAACAGAATGATAACAGAATTTACTGGTAACAGAAGAGGTAGCAACCTGAGGCTCTTCCCTCTACAGGAAACACAATTAGAACAGTTTAATAACCCCTCCCATCCCCCTCGCCCCTCCGTTGAGAATAAAGAAGGCTACCTCCACCAGTGCACGAGAGAAACACACCATGAACACAACCAAAGGAAAACGGGTTGGAAGAAAGCTTGCTGTCCTGGAAGATAGCCAGAAATACTGTTACCGGTTAGTATAACGGGGAATTTCCCCAATCATCTTTCAGGACAGCAACCTGAGAGGAGAAGCAAGAAATAAACAAGCTACCTCAGGATGGGACCATTACCTGTAGAACTTACTGCTGAACACTAGGTCTTTTTGCAAGAAAATCTTCACTTACCGAGACAGGCGAAGGTAACCTGACTGCAGATTTGCTCCACTGAGGCTTTTCCTTTGATGACTTTACAAAATCTAACAATGTGCCTTAAATGAAGGAGGAATGTGCGATCCTTCTTTAAAAACAAAAGATATAGTCTGTTTATATCCATCTGACAACTTAGATCAAGGTCTATGAGCCCCTTTCTGGTTTCATCTTCCAAAGTCCCAAGTAGCATCTAGAAGACTGAAGAGGCATCTACCAGTGAAAGAATGGACGTTCTCCATCTTTGGGCTTTAGGGTTATAGTAGTAGGAAAACAGAATAATTTCCTGGTTTCTAATAAATAAGTGGACACTTTGAGCCAATACCTAAAGTCTGGCTCAGTGTCACTCTGGGATAAAGAGAGAATTGATGCTAAAACATCTAAGAGGTACTTGCTGATCATGAGGAGTCTGCCCTTGTAGGAAAATGGTGGAACCCTGTCCTAAGTCTATGGACTTGAAGAATAAGATGCCTATGGTGCCTATAATGGTTTAAGAAGAGGCAGGCAGTCCCTCAGGGATGACAAAGAGAGTCAGCCTGTAGCAGAAACATGGCCAAAAATGATAACCATTAACAGCTCATACTACATAAAAAAAAAGAAATGGAGAGACTCTCCCTGAGACTCAATAGAGCAGGAGAGGGGAAAGAAAGAAAAGCAAAATAAAGAGTATTGAAGAAAACAGGGAAAAAGGGAACTGCAGTTTAGCAATCTATAACATTTTTTTTTTATCAGCCTGTTTAGGTCTCTCTTCAAAATGCAGCCTCTGATGTCCTTTGACATTACAGTGAGGAAAATAATGATTTGATCCCCTGCAGATTTTTTAAGTTTTCCCACTTACAAAGAAATAAAAGGTCTATAATTTTGATCATAGGTGTATTTTACATGATGGAGACAGAATATCAAACAAAAATCCAGAAAAAACACATATGTTATAAATTGAGTTGCAGTTTAGTGAGTAAAATAAGTATTTGATTCCCTACCAACCAACAATAATTCTGCCTCGCTATGTGGTACACAGATTAGTCCTGTCAATTTAATAAGGTGCTCCTAACGACAACTCGTTATGTATATAAAAGACACCTGTCCACAGAATCTCTTTCTTCCATTCAAACCTCACCACCATGGGCAAGACCAAAGAGCTGTCAAAGGACGTTGGGGACAAGATTGTAGACCTTCACAAGGCTGGAATGGGCTACAAGACTATCAGCAAGAAGCTTGGTGAGAAGGAAACAACTGTTGGAGTGATTATTCGCAAAAGGAAGGAATACAAAATAACCATCAATCACACTCAGTCTGTCACAGGAAGTGAATGGAAATTTTCCCTACAGGTCACAGACAGCAACAAAAAAGACACCCATTTCCTACTTTATACAACACTGGAAAAAAACACAATTTTGGCTTTACCTACACTTTAACCTGGACCTGTACGATAGGATAAGATAATGCAACTGCCAAAGGGAAACTAAAGATTTTTATTAGGGATGCACTGATACTTTTCAGATACCAGTGCCGATACTTGGCATTTTCACGAGAACTACCAGGGTTGCAGCTGGGACCTGGCTCTGGCGCTCCACTACTGTCCTGAAATCATTAGTCGATATTGTTTTAGAAAAACTTTCACATGACAATAAACAAAAATGTATCATTACTTGTATCTGTGGGGACTTGGGCAAGTATCAGTACTTGTATCGGTGAGGACTTGGGCAAGTATCAGTACTTGTACTTGCAAAACTGGTATCCCTTTTTTAACATTTATAAAAACAAAATTATACATTAAAACATAGATGTACAAATCCCAGGAGCTCTGTATACTCCTTACAAATGACAGCTGCCTCCTAACTTTTGAAGTTTTCCCTAGTCTAGTCTTTGAGCTCAAAGTATCTGTACTTGTACCGAGTAAGGTACTTGGTATCGGTGCATCCCTAATTTTTATAGATGTCAATATAGAAAGATACGCACACATATCTACATACGTGTATATATGCACAGTATTATTTTATTTATTATATTTGACAGCTATAAAGTAGGTAATGCTAACTTTATAAGTACAAATTCTCCCTACAGGACACAGACAGCACAAAAACCCCCAAAAAACATTTTGGCTTTACCTACACTTTAACCTGGATCTGTACAAGAGGATAAGATAATGCACCTGCTAAAGGGGAAACTAAAGACCTTCAATAATTCTATCTATATATACATATTCTATAGAGATATAAGGGCTATAAAGCAGGCAACCCTGACTTTATTAGCTAATTTACAGATAGACCACTAGAGGGAGCAACTTATAAATCTTTGAAAGACAAAAGTGAAATTATATAACATGAAGTAAAAATTTACGTCACAAACATTCCTTTTCTATTTTACAAAAATTGTTTTTTTTTAAAACCCCTATTTTTCCTTTAAGTAAAAAGTATTTAATCAGGTGAGTCATTCAAACAGGAAGTGAGATAAGTGGAGTAAATCACCTAGTGTAAATAATTACTGATAATAACCACAGTGCTTTGTGAAGGCACATGGACGTGGTAAATCTCTGTGTACAGCAGGTGTTTTTCTGAATACCATACTCCTTACATCACTAATCTAGGAAATAAGCACAAAGAGGGGCGCCTTTCCTGGTGCAGATCACTTTTATTACAAGCAGTGAGATGTCCACTAGGTGATACCAGTATAGTGGTGACGTTGCCACTATACTGGTATCACCTAGTGGACATCTCACTGCTTGTCAGTCCTCACCTCATGACTTTGTGACACTCATGTTTGTGAGTATGATTCGGTTTTCTATTTATGTTTATTGAAATAAAAGTGATCTGCACCAGGAAAGGCGCCCCTCTTTGTGCTTATTTCCTAGATTTCCAGCTTTCCCCGCTTCTTTGGGGCAGCATCCTGCAGTATGCCTAAAAGCAAGTCCTATTAAGAACTGACAGTCCGTGGCGCTTCACTGTTTTTACTTTCTTACATCACTAATAACTGATATACTTGTGGTCCTTGTTTGGGAAATGCACAGCTAATATTCCCTTGTGTTCAATATGACCTCATCCTTGTGTCATGAGGTCACATGCTGAATGTACAACTGTATACACCATTCAAATGGGCAAACACATTCTGAAAGATTGCTTCTCATCGTACTGCATAATGTACATCAGGAGTAGGCAACCTCAGCACAGCAGCTGTGGTGGAACTACAAATCCTGTCATGCCTGTGGCTGTCAGAGTCTTGCAATGCCTCATAGGACTTGTAGTTCCACCACAGCTGGAGTGCCAAGGTTGCCTACCCCTGATGTACATGCAAAAACAATATCTTTCAATTAAGGATGAGGTCTTGGCATCCCCAAAATTGAACAAACAAGATGCCAAAAACAATTGGTTAAATCTAAATCCAGAATTGGTTATTTTCCCCCCATAACATTTCCTTTATACTGGATTTTCAAAATAGCAACCAAGATAATGGAGAGAGAAGATGTGTCTGCAGAATGACAGTTTTGGTAGTTAAAGTTTTTGCACTCAAATTTGAGGAAACCTCTAAATGTTTATGTGTCCCCATTCAAACAGCATACCAAAAGTATCTCCTACCTTTTAGATGTGTCTGTGTAGCTGGTCTTTCTCATTTTCAGAGACAGAAAACTCTCTGTCCCCATAGAAAGATTACGGACAGACTGAGCTTCCTCTCATTGACATACAAAGCTTCTAGATCTTTAACCCCTTTTTAGCACTAGGGATTCACCGATATCGATACTAGTATAGGTA